ACGGGCGCCCGCAGCAGCCGCGAAGCCCCTGTGCCGTTCAGCCCGGCCGCGGGCCAGGCCGCCGGATCCGCGCGCCGGCCTCGCCACACCCACCCGCCTCCTAGGCCCGGCCTGGAAGGACTCTTCCCGCTCCTCCTCGGGCGGCGGCGGCGTGCCCCACACCCGAGAGTTACCTGCTGATCTTCTGGGCGAAGGCGCGGCGCTCCGCCATGGCTGCTGAGGCGGCGGCGGGCTGCTGTGGACGGGCGGGCGGGCGCGCGTGTCGTCGCTCGCGCTCCCTCCCTCGCGGCCTCCGCCAGTCCCGGCTCCGGACCTGGGAGGCTGGGGCTGCCCGCCCGAGCCGGGAACGAGCCCTGCCGTAATGCTCCTTAGAGGCGCGCACCAAGAAACCGCTCCTCCCCCACCGCGTCAATCCCGGCGGGAGCCCAGGCCTCCGAGCGCGACTGCGGCCGGCTGGAACGCGGGGGAAGAATGGGGCGTGGGGGGACCGAGATACCAGCTCACGCCGCCTGCGAGAACCCAGCGGAAGGAGAGAGGTGCCAAAGAGGAGCTAGCGACCCGGCAAGGCAGGAAAACAAGATAACCGAACGAATAGAGGGAGCGTAGCTTTCCCGAAAAGGAAGGGAAGGAAATGGAAGATGGACTTTGCTGAGGGGGGCTGTGCTTTACCGCTTGGAATGGCTGGGTTCGTGTTCCCGCAACGCCTATCCCTCTCTTAGCAGTTTAAACCTCCTTTTTTTAATTCGTGGGGGTTGACTGGAGGAAGAAAGGGTTTTCTTCTAGAAAAGAACTTTCTACTGCAGAGAGGTAACAGAATAGTTAATATGAGATGCATGATGATCTTACTTTAATCTTTACAAACATCCCTTTGAAGTAGGTTTTGTTATTAACCCCCTGTTAGATTTAGGGAATTGACTCAGAGAAACTGAGCGATTGGCCATTTGTATATTCTAAAACTAAGGCTTAAACAAAACCCAAGCCTTTTCTCTGAACAAAACCCAAGGCTTTTCTCTGACAAGAGTTTCTGCATTAAAGATGCTTTGTTTTAAAGGACTCAATTAGATTCCCTCCATTTTGGGGCATATGTCTCCATAAAACTCTGTGTGTGTGTGTGTGTGTGTGTGTGTGTGTGTGTGTGTGTGTGTGTTTATCCAAATAGACACTTCCATTTTAATGTTACACTATTTGTATGTTTACAACTCAGGTTGCCCTTGCCCATAATACAGTCTTGAAATAGAGACCTGCAGAGTTAATCTCCTAATCCCTGTGTCTGGAATGTTTGGTTCCTAATGCATATTTGCTTTTTACTGAAGTTAGGGTGAAACTAAGAAATGTACCTTCGTTTCTTGTAATTCTTGACCTCTGCAAGAATTTATTAAATATTTTATTTATTCTCCCTGTGTCCTGTGGAGCATGTTGGATATTTGTTTTTCTTTCCTACAGTTGGAAAATCTGTAGCATGGAGTCATTAGGTCACTTGCCTAGAGTCACACTCTGAGTCAGAGGTGAAAACTCATTATCCATAACTTCCTGTCCAGTGCTCCACTGTGGGGAGGCGTAATTTATTGTATGGCAATGCTCGCTCCACTAACACAGTAGAGGAAACAGTAATCTATTCAAAGATAAGAGTGCATCTAGTTAGCTTCTACCTAAGTGTAGAGTCCAGCCAGACAAACTGAGGGGGGAGACCAACAACAAAAAAACCTTGCTCTTAAGAAGTTTTAATCCATTGGGAAAGATTAAACAATGACTCAAAGAACTGTAAATTATGACTAATAATGCTATTTCCTGACCTTTAAGACTCACTATGAGTTTGGTGAGTTATTTAACCATGCTGCTAAAATGAAAAACTGTGAGTATTCACTGAGTGAAATCTTAGAACATATGGGAAAATTTAAAGAGCCTAGAGGCAAGAAGCCGCACTGCAATCCCAGAGGTACATGGTTTGAATCCACCAGATGCTCTGCTGGAAAAGGAGGGGCAGTCTCCTCCTGTACCTGTCAGATCTGATTTGACGGTACACATACACACAAAATAATAAAATTTTTTTTAAAAAAAGAAGGAAAAATTTGCGGTCAAGGTTGTCTTTAAAGTGTTGCAGAGCAATGATGTCTGTTTAAAGAATAAAATGCACCTGATAAAAGCCATGATCTTTACTTCCTACACATCTGAATGTTAGTGATTAGGGACGACAGAAGGAAAAAAATTAAATGCCTTTGAATTGTGGTGTGGGAGAAGAGTATTGAATATCCTGTGGACGGATAAAAGAACAAACAAATCTGACTTGGAAGAAATGCAACAAGGATGTTCCTGAGAGCCAAGGTGGTAAAAAACCCCTTTATCTCACATACTTTGTGCATGTTGTCAGGAGGGAGGGATCAGTTCTTGGAAAAAGATACCATGCTAGGAAAGGTAGAATCAGAGAAAGAGAAGAGGACCCTTAACAACATAAATTGACACAGTGGCTATAACAATGTTCAAATGTGTTAGAGATCATCGTGAGGATGGTGAAAAACAGGGAGGTTCGACTCTGTTGCTCATAGGATTGCTATGACTTTTAGTGGATTTGAAGGTACCTAAAAACAACATACATTTTCTCTCTTCCTCATTGCCTTCAAGTCAGTTCAGACTCATCACTGACCCTCCAGCAGGTTTCCAAGGCTATAAATAGTAAGGGACGGAACTGCTTCTTTCTCCCAAGGAGTGGCTGGTGGGTTTGAAGTGCCAGTATAGCCTCTAGATTAACAGCTCAGTGCTCTAAAGACTACATCACCAGAACATCCTCCTCTATCAATTAGCTGCTGTGATTATGCTTCATCCTACACTTGAGCTTGTCTTGGCTGTTTGGTAGCTCTGAATTTGTTGTCTGCTCTGATGCTCCCAGCCAGATGTTGAATGCCTTTATCTCTGCTCTCCAAACATCTTTTCACTACTCTTTTTGACAACTGGCCACATTTTGTATTGAATAGTTCTTTGTGTACTTGACTCACTACTTGCCAAAATGTCTGAAAAGGACATTGCATGCTCTGTGTAGCTTCCTGGGAACATTTAGAGCAGGAAAAAGACAAGCAAGACCAAGCTGCCAGCAAAATAGAGTCTGGTGTAAACTCTAAGCAAAAAGTGGAGTTCCCACCTCTGGGGAAGAGCTGACAGTCACGACCAAGTTTAATATGGCCCCGTAGGGGTCCAGTCTCAGGGAAATGGATGGAAATCAATGATAGGACTCAAATTGTCTTAGCATTAACCTGGGTTCTCTCATTCCTTCCATGCCACCTGCACCCATCTTTACTAGATTTCTATGTAGTTGATTCCATTTCAAGACTAAGTGGGTAACCTGGGCCTGACCAAGCAGAGCTCTACATCCCCCTGCCTTCTGTGACTCAAGAATAGATGCATGAATCAAGCCAATTCAGAGTTAAAATTGAATTTGCCATACCAAAAAGACATCCATCTGAAGAGGGCCTGCCTCAGTGAAGCCAACCACAGAAAACCAGGAGAGATACATTCGTGATATTATTTGAGAATTGAACTATGCAATTACATAAATTAAAAATGCACTGAAATTTGCTGAACTTCTTTTGCTTAGTCCAGTTTGAGGGACCTCTGGTGGCTTAGTGAGTAAGGAGTTGCACTGTCAATACAATGCCATGAGGTTCAAATCACCAGCTGTTCCATGGGAGGAAGATAGGTGATCTCCTCCCAGGCAATTTACTGCCTCTGAAAACCAGCTGGAAGATCAGCTATGAGTCAGTCCTGACTTGAAGGGACATAACAGTAACCAACAATCTAGTTGGGTTTTCAGTCATTAGCAACATTCAGTCAATCACTTGTTTGGTCATTCCTGTCAAATTATAACATGGGCTTCCTAGGCATGGAAGAAAATACCCATCTAGATCCTGGAACTTCTGGTGGGCATGAACAGCCCAAGAGGCATGGCCTTTGAGTTAGTAGCATTTCTGTCTATAGACGACGCCACTAGAGCTCCCATAATGACAATTAATGAAGATAGAGTAGTATGTCAGATGCTATTTTTGTCCTCAAAGACTTCAGAATCTAGTTGAAGAGAACAGCATAAATCGTATTTTAAATGCTAAGTCATGATAAATTGAGAAAGCTCTGGGTACATTCTAGATAGCAACAGGTGATGACTAAGTTATCACCAATAGCTTTATTTGCCATTAGTTGAGGGAAACTATGAAATTTAGGCCCATGTTTAACTCAGTTACAAGTTGCTTGGATCTAAGGCCATTTTCTTTTTAGAATATACAGTTCCCTAAATTCTCTGAGCATAGGACTTAGAAATGTAATAGGGGGGAAAATCATTCATTTCACATTCTACCTTTATTAAGTTCCAAGTTTTTCTCCCTTTACTTTTATCATTATGGACCGTTATGGACAGATGGGGCAAGGCTAAGTTTCTTAGGTCATAATATTAAAGAGTGGAGGATTTATGTGATGCGGAATAAAGCTGGCTTTGCAGAAAGAGTATGTTCCCCATGGATTTGAGGTAGGGAAGAAAATACTCCATTCTCCAGACGTGGCTTTGGGAAATGCCACCGTTGTTACATGATGTCAAGTCTGAACCAACCCACAGTTGACCCTCCAGAGGGTTTTCAGAGGCAATAAATCACACTGGAAGAGACTGTCCATCCTTCCACAGAGCAGCTGGTAGATTTGAACCATATGCCTTTCGAATTTCAGCACAGCTTATCATAAGCCACCAAGGCTCCCCACAGTTCATAAAATAATGGAGCTCCCTCCACTGGGAGTTTCCATGAAGGCCCAAAAGGGACAAGCCTGAAGCATGCCTCTGAAGCTTAACCTCAATCCCAAACTAAAACCTAGGAGTTTATTGCTAAATCTAAACTATAGATAGGGTTTTTTTCTTTTATAAATATTTTTTACTGTGATTTTACTTGTGTCAGGGTTTGTTGTTTGCATGAGACTCTTCCAAAGGACAATTCAGGGACCCTGAATCTGGTCACGTTTCACAACCAGAAGCACCTCATGTTTAACACTGTAATAACACCAATTGCCTGCTTTTTGCCCATTAATCCATACATCCCGTTAGACATAATTGCTTATTCACACTTGTGTTTCCAGCATTTGGTATAGTGCCTGGTGCATTATAAGCACTTGGTAAATGTTTGTTAAAGAAATGCGTGGTGTTTTCAGATGTCATCTTAATTTACATTTCCTGAGAACAGAGCTTGAGATAAGGTTTTCATTGCAGGTAGTTCATTAGGGAAGCAGTCTCAGGAAATTGAAGTGAGGAAGTAGAGCGAACAAGA